TATTTGGTTTTCTGCAGAAAGATGTGATTCAAGCACATGCACCGATCGTTCCATCCTCAGCTATGTGTGGGACCGTAATTCAAGCCCGCTCGCTCAGAAACCTACTGGTGATTTCAAAAAAAAAACGGCTACAGAGAAGTGTTCCAATTTAAGAGTAGACTGTGCACGAGGGTGTGTTCTGTGTTGCAATGGCCCAGCAGGATGTTACCAACCGAAGCAAAGCATGAGCTTTAGCACCATCACCCTTCCAGAACTGTTTGATTTTTTGGTTTTACATTTTCTCGTTTGAAAGTGTCATGTAAGTATCTTCCTATTATTCCGTTGTGAAGTTGCCCCTAATTAAAAATGATGGATAAAGTGATTTGGCGTATTAAGGAACCTAGCCTTTTAACCCGACCACGCATGACCGATCTTGGGTGTGGTGCAGTAGGAACGAAATTGTCGCGTCGCGGTGAGAGTGGCGTCGCGCGCGAAGGAATGTAGCAGGATCAGCAGTAGGTAAGAAATACAAGAACGAAAGTACTAATAGTAGAATTATGCATAAAATAATGATCGCATATCGATTGATCTGTATAAAGAACGCTAGAGCTGTAATAACGGCGAATGAGTGGTCCACGAGAGCCGCGTACGGCGAATCGACTACCCAAAATCGTTCCTAACGCCCGTCTCCCACCGATCTTGGACAATGCGCGTGACAGTGTACCACTTGGCCCTATACCACCATCGCCTTCTTGTTCCATAGACTGGGAGTGAAAAACTTCATAGAGGGTGGTCATTCTCATGAAGGAATAGGCCAGGAGGACTGCAAGGTTTGAAAATTTAGCGAGAGCATGGTTGCGGCTGCAAAATTAGTCTCAATAGGGCATATAGCGTTGGATAAGGCTTGGCATCATCATGCAAACGGAACTCATGCAAACATGAAATTCTTCCATTCGCTTGGTGCATTCCCTCGAATTAACTGCAAAAACGAAGCGCCAGTTCTGTGACGTGTTTGTGAATACATTTGATTTCTCTTCCACTGGAAGTCTCCCAAGCACCACTTTCACATTCCCTCTAAGTCCTGCTACTCACATTTCACGAAATGCACCTTTCACATCTTGAACGGCCCTTAGGTAACTTCTTACCCTTTGAATGAATCGATAGTTTTGCATGGAAAGTGAGGGTATGGCATATTTTCTTTATTCATGTATCCAGGGGAAAATGCAATTTAATTTGCATAAAATTGCCAAACTTCATAGTTTTTTCTATGGCAATGCTGTCCTCTAACACGACTTACTGCCATTGATGCGAGTCCTAACTGTCATCTTTCTTTGAACATCCCTTACTCATCAAATATGCTACTTTCGTCAAGAACCCTCCCTTCCAAGCGCCTACCGTAATTTACCATCTTACTCCATTTCATTTGTGCATACTTTGGCCTAAAAACACCCACATTTAGTCTAGGTCGCTGGATGAAACAAAAACGATAAAAGGTAGGGAAGATTCTGACAACTCATTGTAAAAATTACCCTTGGCACGTTGAATGCATTGCTAGATGAGGGAAGATGACCACTGAGATTCCTAAACTTCGTGAGAGCCAGGAGGACGCTCAGTGAAGACGTATTCGGATGGACTGCCTTGAACCAATTAAACTGCATACCTTTAAATTAGTTTCGGATGTCCCACCTAACAACTTCGAATGTGACCACTGAACAACCTTTCAGAGAACACAGCCGCTCCCACATGCACCCCGATGAAAGCATTGTACCAGGGGGCAAACGAGTTCTCTGACAATAGCGCGGAATCTATTCTTTAAAGTACATTCTGGGCTAATCCCATGCTGCCAGTCACTGCTACATATCGAATTCCATAACGATGTTTTCAAAGCAACAGAATTTGTCCGTTCATTGTTTTTGTGGGGCCATTCGACATGGGCGAAACGAAAGAAAGGAAGCCCAACGAGGAGTGGTCGAGCGGGCTGTCAGTTTAGAGCCTCATCTAGCCATCCTCGCCTCAAAAGGCGGTACCACTATTTGGCCTATGTAACAATTTTGGCATGAAGCATGATCGGTCCCTCGGGTCGTTTGGCGGCCGTCCAATTTCTACGCAAAGTGTGCTAATTACTTCTACGATATCCATCCAAGTAATGAATTTCGCAGCCTTCGGAGAACATCATCTCCGCTTCCTTTCTTACCCACAGCAAAAACGGCTCATTCCAATACAGAGCACAGAGCTGAATATCCTATAAAATTTGCTATTCAATCTTGCGATATTGTGTTCCCTGTTCGATAAAAGCAGTGTGTCCGATGAAGTAGGAATGTGGCTTTAAAGACCAGCGGACCAGTATTGAGGATTACAAGACTTTTTGAAAAGATAATTTCCGAGCCCACCAGACCCACATTTCCCAAATCTTTTTCACCCTTCTGCCACATCCACATTCCCTTCTTCATTGTCTTCACCAAATTTCTTGCACCTCACTAACCCTAGCAAAGTAATTTTGAAATATGAATAAATGATCTTCTTACACTACAGCATTAAGCGAAAAATTGATGGTTTCGATGGATGTGCGCTACCCAGAATATATTTGTTTATTTACTCATTTATTTACAATTACATTCCCTCACCAATGGAGGGACGGTACTTGGATTGTATCTATTTATTCACTTTTTTTTATGCAGGGAAATGTGCACACAAACTAAAAGCAATGATAAGAAAAAAGTTCCAAGCTTTGAAGGGAATAGATTGTAAAAGCAAACTTGCATTTATTCGCAGAAGATCACAATCATTTTTTAATATAATCTACATAAAGCACCCCTCTCAACGACTATCACAGAATTGAGTGCTCTTCCGAATCACTGCTTGCTGTCAGCCAACTGCTACTGGTTTGATAAGAAAAAAAGGCAATTAAGCATCGGCTGCCTCCATAAATCATTATTATTGCCAAACATTTGAGCTTCAGGCTACTTCAAAAAAAGTCAGTTTTATAGACCTTCTAAAGAGAATGGTCGAAGTTGTGAAAACTGTACCATTTATACTTTTATCGCCATATGAAATAATATCAATTCTCAATCGGAAACCGTAGAACGGCCCCATGTGCCCACCTAAAAAATGGTGTTACCCTATGCTAACCAATTACCTTTACTGTAGTGCATTTATACGTATAAATATCCGAAAATAAGGTCAGAATTCAAGATTTCTTACTTTCTTCCCAAGTAATGCCTAGCCCAGAGAGAGCGCTGTGGGGAATAGTTGGTTGTACATATGGGTAGATTGCGTGGTATCAACGGGCAAAAACTCATCCGAGCACCAAATCCTTAAAATTTCTTTCTGGTGCTTTCTCTGGCGGACGATATGACAATTTCGCTAATTTTGCACGCTGTCGGTGGGTTCATTTCATATCTCCTCCACTGAGAGAGCATAAAATATCTGCATTTTCTTTTTTTTAGCCCCACGACACACATCTTGTTGTCACAATGACAGTAGATAGGCAGAGAGTTTTTCTGAAGTGGTCATTAAGTTTTCTGAAGTTTCTAAAGTTTGCCCAGGGAGAGCGCTGTTTGGGAATAATTGGTTGTGCATATCGGTAGATTGCGTGTTATCAATCGGCGAAAACTCATCCGAGCATCAAATCCTTGACCTTTTTCTCTTGGTGCTTTCCCCGGAACGATATCCCAATTTTGCTAATTTTGCACGCTGTCGGTGGGTTCACCTTATATCTCCTCCACTGAAGGAGCATAAAATATCTGCATTTTCTTTTTCGAGCCCAACGACACACATCTTGTTGTTACAATGACAGTAGATAGGCAGAGAGTTTTTTTGAAGTGGTTGTTCTTCCGCAATATTGCTTCCGCTTTGAGGAATCAAGGGCAATTTGAAAATCGAGATGCAAAAGTCAAAGAAAATTACCAAATTGCCTCAATCAAATGATAAAAAACGATACCAGGTTATCAAATTTCATGGTACGTGTAAAAAAGTATTGAAGAAGGCCAATTGCGAATTTCATCTTGCAATGATTACAATCTTTTGGGCTCCCAAAAATGGCACTACGTAAATATAACAAGCGCCCGGTTGCTCTTCACCGACCAATACAATTTTTTCACAACAAAACACTATCAATCCTCGAGCTATTCTTTGCGTTTGAAATCCCCTGTGGGGGAGGGGGGGCAAAAGACAAATGTTTTTCTAGGAAAGAAGATTTTTTCTGCCTTCTTCCGAGAAAACATTCCGAAAGTTTCTTAGTTTACTTTTTTCAATTTTATTAATTCGCCATGAATTCGGAACGGCCCCATTGCACTGACTGAACGGCAACAGATCCATTCATCAAAATGTTTGAGTTGCAATGTAAGACAATGGAAAATCGTCAAATTTCTGCGACCAACAAGATATTTTTCAGAGCATCATATAAAAAATATCAGAAGCGCTATTAAATCACATAGATACTTTGACAGTGGAATTTTTTCTGTGTAAAAGTCACAACAAATTCCAATGGAATAAGTCAACCATTAGAGATAATCCCCATCCTCTACGCTCTTTTTATTCTTAACTCAATGTGCTGCCAAGTTCTCCCGTCTCGTCTGGATCCCTGAAAATCTGTTTCCTTCTGAAATTCTTCCATCACTCTCCTTTGTAGCATACCCGTTACTTAGCCAGAACCCCGTTATGAAGGCTGCCCTGATCCGTTGTTGATGAGATGCAAGGATTAACGGAATAGAAGTATTTGGTGCAGATCCAGCCTTATTTGGCCATCTATATTCGTCCTCTACTATCCAATTACTAGTTTCTGATAGAACTGCTATGGGCTTCATTGCCACGCCTCTATCGTATACCGGCCGAGCTACCACCTTGCGGATCGGCAGTACCTTTGCCGATTCGCGATCGAGCGCGAATGCTACACAGGTCAGAAATGTTTTGGGCTCACTACCAATGGTTCAAATACAAATTTGGTATAAAGCAAATGAAAGCTTCTGCCTGTTTTTTAGATATTTTCGAAAATCAGTGTGCTTCAGATTATCGTGCCCCAAATGCCAACATGGAAGAAGTATGCCCGAATCGTGCTGCCACACGTTGGACTTATTCTACTCTCCCTCTTCTATGTAGTCGGTGGAGCCGTCGCTTTTTATCATATGGAACGACCTAATGAGGTAGGTCGAGACAAGCTTTTTATAGTTCCGTTCTGCACAGCTTCCGCTCTATCTACTTCTATTTCTACTACTACTTCCTCCCCAATTTTGGGTATTAGTACTAGCCTACATATCATGCTCGTGTCTGCCTGTCGCTCCCGGAATTCGTTATTACTTGAAGAATCGTCTGGAGAGGTCGGATCAAGTCTGTAATGGGTTGAACATAGTGAAAAGAACAGAACACGTGTAAGCCCAGCGGAGCTCCATCCACAGGAGAGGGGGAAAGGGGACGAGCGTTGGCGTTGGGCGGTTCCACAGGAGGGACTTCTTAACGTGGTCTCATTACGGCCCAGGCGCTGGGAAAAAAAGAGCAAAGGTGAGACATCGGTCAATAAATGAAATGAAGGACATGAACAGGTGGGTGGAGAGAATGTAGTCAGTTCTTTAGGGGTGCAAATCAGATCAAAAACTCATACCTGCTTGATGTGCTTTCGACGCAAGCGTTAGCGTGTGGAGTACAACTGATTTACATGATGGCAAAAGTTAAGGAAAGCTTGAGTTCCTCCCCTCCAAACTCCCCCTTTGGGGTGCCCCCAAAATTTTCGGTGAAAAGCGTAGTGGGGTTTAAAAGGTAACTCACGTGAGCATTCACTTGAATAACAGGCGGTTATCGCTCTTAAATTCGATCTAATGACTATGAATATGATTATGAATTATGAATGTGTTAGAAAATTTCGGGCGTTACTTCATTTCGTCTATCTCATTCACAAGAATTCACTCTTTGTTGTTACTCGAAGGGTTAGCGGAGGTGGTAGGGCAATGCCTGATAGAATTACCTGATTGCTTTCAACCTATAGCCTCGGATGATGAGCATCCGCTTGTTTGGAAGGATATTCGGCAAACAGCGAACAACCTTAGAAAACAGTGCCAAAATCTTTGGGTTCTTTTCGTGCTCCGCAATTCAGCAGAATAAAATACAGATGGCCGTTCGAGAGTCAGCAATACGACGCTTCAATCAACACAAAGAACGAATGTTGGATGAGCTGTGGACCCTAGTTGAGTCAGGTGCACCGCCAGGTGAGAAACCGATTAAATATCATGCTATATCTCGTAATAAGAGCGACTATTTCAGATCTCATTGAAGAACGAGCCAGCTTGTACGTGGAGAATTCGACTCGCATTCTCTTCGAGGCGTTTGACACACATTTCATAAGCGCAGCACTTTTGAAGCCCGGTGGAGAGAACGAAGCGGTCAGTACCCAGTCATCCGCACTATACGGTTGCATATCATATAGCTAGCTCAAAGATGTCATGAGGAAGGAATGGCAGTTTTTGTACCGAGTTCGCCCCACAAGCGGTAATATTCCTCAAATTTCCTTCCCCCTCCCACTCCCCTCCCCACGGGTAACGGAACTTCTCCCCTATCGCGGCATTCTGCCTTGCGGCATGCGGCAAATGTCACTGCAATTACCGTACTCACCCCGCCTCCCGATAATCGATAGGACGCGATATTTTTCCTTGTCTGGCTTGCTTTTTCACTGGATTTTATCGTTTTTGCTTCTGCTTCTTTTTAGTTTTAA